AAGTTCAAATGATTTGGTTTTTTACTCAATTTACTAACTTATTTATTTTATTTTTTAATTTTAGTGAATAAAATGCTTGCTAGTTATCAAATTGTTACTTCTAATTTTCCTGAAAAATTAAAAGCAGAGGACAATCCCTCAAGATAAAGCCAACAGAAATGACTTAAAGTAATAACTATTGATGAAGATGCAGAAGAACACTGTAAACATAATTCTTGATTTATTTTAATATGGAACATACAATTTTTTTTACATAATAATAATAAATGCAATAGTTAAGTTCTAATTTCCAACCTTTAAATTTTATTTTTTTAAATTACATAATTTGTTTATAGAAAAGTATTAACTTCAAATTTGCTTTTTAAGGATAGGGGCCAGTGTAACCTACTATACTATGATCGGCATGGTCATACTTTGTTCATATGACTCACGTATAAGTGATCAGGGGAAGTCCCATTCATTTTATTTTCAAAAATCAAATAAAATAATAGTAAAAACCTCAAAGTTTCATATACTTAAACTTCTTTGGGTGTTATTACGAAACATTTGTGTCTTCGCTTAATAGTAAGTCATAAAAAAGTCATTAATCATGGTCCTTTTCCACCAATTATGGATTGCTTCAACCAAAACTGTGTATCATTTAACCAGACTTTGAATGTAATATGACCTTGTATCTATTTATTTTGTTATAACAGCAAGGTTTATTAACTATATGTTTTTAAAATTTTACTTCAGCCTATGCTTTTTTATATAGAATTCACAATTATCACATTCAAAATCTAGATGCTTTGGTACAAACAACTGCAAGAAAACCATCCAAATCTTACTTTACTTCGAAGAATAGGTCATACATATCTGTTGCGTGATGATAATGTTTCTTTGGAAGTCTTTCCTCAACACAGTAATCTATCCATTTTTGATAAAGAAAATAAAGAAAATCAAGGATTTTATTTATTAGCAAAAGTTGAAGGATTTCAGGCAGAAAATTGTACCAAAACCTGGGTTCCATTACTTTCAGGTTATACCATTTATACACTACATGCCAATCATTTTTACAAGTTTCAAATTCAAAAAACTGAAGATTGCAAATTAGCTTTTTTATGGGTGGATTATGGGTGTGATTCAAGTTTTATTGTACCAAAAAAGTCAAAAATTGAAGATAATTTATTCAAATTTCGAAGTCAAATTGATTGTAGTGGCAGATTTTCAATTCCTTTTCTTTTAGGGTTAAACATTTATGAGAATGTGGCTTATTTACGTGGTATAGTGAATTCAACTTTCTCAGGTTTATTTGTAAAATCTGAGCCATTTTTTATGGCACTTAAAAATACTCAACAATTAAATAAATCTATAAAAAGAAAATCAAATGTAATTGAAAATTCATTTGAAAATAATAGTAATTTAAAAAGTATTGTGAATACTGGAGTGATTGTAAGAAAAGGAGTCAAATTAAATCCTTTGGAATCTCAGGCTGCATTTGTTCGTGTTCAAGAACTTGAAAATCAAATGCACAATGAAAAAAGAAAAAAGAAAAGATTATGAAATTCTTGTGATGTTAATAATAATGTCACTATAACTGATATCAGCAGTGGCAATTGTGGTGATGATGATAGTGAGTAAGTAATTTTAATTAATTTTTTTTTATAAGAAAATTTATGGTCTTAATATTTGTTTTCTGTTTTAAGTGTGCAATCAGATGAAGAAACAGATGAACAATCATGCATAGTCAAAAATTTGATATAGTGCAGGTCATCTAAAGACATCAAAAAAATTGTGCAACTTCAAATTGCTAAGGCTTTTTTTTTATTAATAAAATTGAAAAAAACTTTCTATTTTTGCAATCTTTAGAACCTAAGCAACAATGAAATAGAGAGCTTTTTTCAATTTTACTAATAAAAAAAAAGCCTTAGTGGTTTGAAGTTGGACGATTTTACTATCGAAAATGAAATTTTGGCACAAGATGATCCTTCCTATTTGGGAAATGATCACTGAGACCCGTGACCAGAGCAAATTATAAAATTTGGTTCAGAAAACCAATGTCATATTAATATATATATATATTTTCATAAGTAACCAACAAACAATACATTACTAACAAATTAAAAAAATGCCAAGAAAAAATAAACAAGCTGCACATTTAAGTGATGCTAGAAATATTAAAAAAATAAAGTCAGATAATGAATTGAATAAAAAAATGCATCAAGCGAAGAAGAAATTGATTATGATGATTTCATTTATGAGACTGATGATTCTGGCGATGAATGGTTTAATGAAAGCATGTTCGAAGGATTAGATGATGATGCATTTAATAAATTAATTAGTGCAAGTAAAGATAAAGATGTTTGGAAAACAGAAGGAAGACCTCAAATTTATACCGGTTCTTCATCAAGAACATTTTATAGAAATAAGAACATTTTAAAAAAAGCAGCTGAAGGTACAGCTAGCATTAAATCTTTTTTTCCAGGTAAATAACAAATCATTCATTACATAAAGATAAATAAATTCAAAACTTTAAAAATAAAAATTTAAACATACAGGTTCAAAATGCAGAACAATCAAGCACATCTAATGTCAAACAAGATAATTTGAATTTAGAAGATGAATCAAGTGAAGTCCCATCTAACTTCATTCAAGAGGATTTTGATGAATTTAGTGAAGAGGATTCATCTAATTTTACTTTAGAGCAGCTTGAGGAAGAAATTAAAAAAAATAAAATTCAAGATTATAGATTAAGATACATTGCCCAATATTTGAGATTAGTACAGAATGGTGGTTCAAAAATGGAAGTAAGTAAGATGCTTGCAGAGAGTTTAAACCATGGCCATGGATGTCTAGATTAATAAGATCCTAGACATCCCAATACAAAAAAAAAGGAATGTTGGTTTCCTCAAAACATGGGAAACATCAGAAGATCAAATCTGCATTAAATGATGAAGATATTCAAATTAAGATAAGTCAATATTTACATTCTAAAAAGGTTAATTTTAGACTTCATGACTTTATTAATCATGTTTCAGATGTGATACTTCCATCATTAGGATATGAGAAGGAAAAAAAAATTAGTGACAGGACTGCACATAGATGGCTTAGCAAAATGGGATGGTCTTATAATAAATATAGAAAAGACATTTATGTTGATGGACATGAAAGAGATGATGTAGTTGAATATCGTGAAGAATTTTTAGATCAAATGAAAATTTATGAAAGGTACATGCCTATCTTTGATGGTGAAAATATGGAACAAGTGACTTGGCCATCCTTAAATTCTGATGAAAAGATTCATATACTGGTAACTCATGATGAATCTATATTCTTTTCTAATGATGGATTGGATAAGTTTTGGGGGCCAAATAATGAGCAACCTTTATGTCCAAAAAATAAAGGTGCCAGCCTTCATGTTAGTGAATTTTTATGTGAACCTATTGGACGTTTATGCTTAGGACAAGTAGAAAAGGAACATAACAGTAATTTACCTGAGAATGAAAGAATTCCTGAAGATGATGCATGTACCATTATTAGACCTGGGATCAATCGTGATGGATATTGGACAAGTGATAATCTTGTTGATCAAGTAAGATCTATATATATATTATTTATTTATTTATTATCCATAAACTAAGAGTTATTTAATTTAAATCAAAATTGTATCTATATTTAATAGTTAAAATGAAAGCAATACCTATCTTTGAACAAATGTTTCCTGATTGTGTTGCTATATTTGCTTTTGATCAAAGCTCTAACCATACATAATATGCAAAAGATGCCTTAGTTGTATCTAGAATGAACTTAAGTTCTGGAGGTGCACAACTTAAGATGCATGACACCATAATGTGTAATGGGGTGTTTCAATCTATGGTTTTGTCAAATGGGGAACCAAAAGGAATAAAACTTGTTTTGGAAGAAAGAGGATTATGGGTTCCAGGACTGGTAAAAATATGCAAAAAATGCAAGGAGAAAAATTATGGTCAAGCTGATTGTTGTGCATCTAGAATATTGTCTTCAGAGCCTGATTTTATGGAGCAAAAATCACTTTTGGAGGAGATTGTTGAACAAGCAGGTCATAAGATTATTTTTTACCCTAAATACCATTGGGAGTTAAATTTCATTGAAAGTTTTTGGGGATCAGCTAAACAATATGCTAGACAAAATTCTAATTATTCTTGGACAGGCTTAAATCAAATAGTCCTTGATGCATCAGATTCAGTATCTGTGAATAAAATTAGAAAGTTTGCTAGAAGAAGCTACAGGTATATGTCAGCCTATAGATTAGGATTACCATGTAAAGCTGCCATATATGCTGTTAAAAAATATTGTTCACATAGAAGAGTCCCTGAAAATGTATTAATGGATATTGACATCATGAATATCTGATAATAAATCAATAATTTATCACCTTCATTGGTTAGAATTCATTCATTAATTATATATATAGTAAATTTATCTAATTTATCTAATTTATTGTAGTATTATGCTTGTTTACTGTTACCAGGACCCTGGATAATGTTTCCATTTATGAATTATTCATAATAGCAATAGTAACATTGCTATATAATTTTTTTTTTTTTCCGATGTCATCATAATGTTATTTTTTATTGGTTATTTCAAATAAATTTACATAGTAAAATAAATAAACAATTTAAAAAAAAAACAAATACCCCCCGTATCTAATTGAATTAGACCGTTTGAGCCGACAGATCACTGCATTTTCTTTCCATGTGGCTGTTAATTCCTAAGAACAACATTTAATAATTGTAACCACACTTCAACAAGAAAGTTTAGTGACTTGTCACGAAGACATCCATGGGACTCCAAATCTAATATTATTTGATATCCAATTTGATAATATTATTTTATTATCATTTATATTTTTATTTTTATTAACATTTCTGCTAATAATAATATTATTGTGACTATTATTGTTATTATTGTTTTTATTATTATTGTTGTTGTTTTTATTTCTTTTCATATGTTTGTTTATACCAAAATGTATTTCTGTATTTATAACCTCCTGACAACGTATTTTCCATATTTTTTCTTTGATTAGAACATTCATGTTTTCCATAACACTACATAATATTTTTTTAATTTTTTCTTCTTTTCTTATATAACATTTCATATGATCATAGAGGTCTTTTGGTATAATTCCTTTTATTATATCAATGAATGTGATTTGGTTTTTGTCTTGGTATATTCTCCAATATGTTTTCTCATCAAACATATTTCCAGGAGCCAAATGATTTATTTCTTTTATTTGTTTTACTAGGTTTTGTTTTGTCTCTTGAATTATATTGTTAATTGTTTCTCTTTGTTTTTCACATAACCAAATGTGTGAAAAATCTTCATTGTCTTTGTTGCAAAGGCAACACTTCCAGTTATTATCATATAAATCTGGACTTCGTAATTTAAGGCTTTCAATAGTTGGTAATTCTTCTATTAACTTTTTAACTTTGAAAGATTTTTTATTACTAGCATTAAATGATGTTTTAGTGTTTTCTTCACCATTAGAATTTAGTATTATCCAAGTCATTGGCCAGTTAATTAAAGTTTGTTCCGATTTGTCATATTTAATATTTCTATTTTTTTGTTTCCAAATTAAAAAGCTTTTTGCTTCTGTGCAATTTTTTAAAAAGAGCCTTAATGATATTTCAATTCTTATGTTATTGAAAGATGGTTGACACTTAAAATTTGGTAATTGATCATATTTGATTTCCAACAGATCAGAGTCCAAACCTAATTTTGCTAGAAAGTCTGATTTTTCATTAAAAAAAATACCATTGTGTGCTTTCACTTTTTTTATTTGTATTTTTTGTTTTAGTTCAGCTACTGTATCTTGTATTATGCCCCATAATAAATAATTATTTTCTTTCACCAATCTTCTTGTACTTATATATTCATTTTTTATTATTAATCTATCAAAAAATTTTATAGTAGTTTCACTGTCACTGAAAATAGTAATATTACTCTCAGGTGGAGATACAAGTAATGCAGATAGTATAGCTAAAACCTCTGTTTTTGTTGAAGAAGGCCAGTTTTCAACTGATGCTGAGAAGGTTAATTGTTCATTTTCTTGATTTGTTTGTATCCAACCAATACCCATTTTTACTTTTTTAGTGTTGATTTTATTTAAGGATCCATCTGTATAAAATTCTAAATTTTGAGAGTTGTTTAATAGTTTACTGTGTTCTATTAATTTGTAACTACACATGTTGTCCTTGGTGTATTTCTTAATCATGTTAATATTGTGAGAAGCAATTTTAGATAATATAATATTATCATTATTAACAATATTGTTACTGCTATTGCTATTGTTATTAAACCATATTTTGTAAAAAAGTCTTTTTGCCTTAGCTTTAATCTCAAATATTGAAACATTTGTTTCATATGATTCAGTTAATTTGATTTTCTTTGCATTAAAAATGACTGCTTCTTTGTAGTTGTACCAGTTGTTACATAAGTGTATAATTGTGTGTTCATATCTTTTTATAGGCACATGGCAAGGACATCCTTGACATTTGTTAATCAGAGACCTATTAACTGATGGTGAGGCATTAATGTTTATGTTTGGAAAGTATGGTATCCAATGTTCTACTAATATTTTACCATTGAAAGAATCTTTTTTGACAATTCTTCCAAGTATTGAATCTTTTAAATTATTGTTCCAAATTGCTACCCAATTTTTACTGTTTTGATCCATATCAAGGGGTTCAAGATTTAAAGGAATAAATTTAGTTGAACATAGAGTAAAAGTAGGTTTGAGTTTTCGTGAAATTGAAAAATCTTCCAACACTAATTGTTGTATTTTATGGAACCATTTAGGATCAGTTTTTCCTGAATTTCTGTATATTTTATACCTGGCAGCAAGATCTTTTCTAGTTATCAGATAATTTCTATCTTGTGACACTAATTGATCTAAGAACATGAGATTGTATTTCTTTAGTTTATTTGCATGTTGATAATATGTTTCCTTTAGTATATCTATTAATGGAAAATAACCACCTTTGATTTCATTTTTATTGTAAGGAGAAAATTGCAAAGGGGTATCCTTTATTAAAGAAAGTGTGGCTGCAATTATATTGCATTTTATTTTGTTGAAAGGGGCATCATTTATTAATAATGGTGAAATTGGTAACCAGAGTTTTATTTGTAGTTGTTTTAGCCTAATATCTGTAATTTTTCCCAAGGTATGCTTATCATTGATTTGTATGTTTAGATTATTTAGTTGGCATCTTTGTTGTAAATCATACAAATCTATGACATTGTAGATATTATTGCATTGCATAATTACATTTGGTGCTTTTGAATTTATATGTAGTTTGTTTTTGAAGAATTTTCTGAAAATAGCCATGAAATTTGAAGCCTCATCTTTTGTAAATATGGTAAGTTGTGCTCTATATTCAATTCTTGGTATAATAATTTTGTTAAATATGTATATTAGTTGTTTATCTGTAAGAGGTTTTCTGGACATCATATTACATGATTTGTTGATTTCATTTATTATTTGATTTTTAACAAAGTTTTTTCGATTATTCAGATTAATCCAAACACCCAAAAATCTTACAGATTCTGATTTTGAAATTGGTTTGATATTGATTGTAGAATTGCCAAATTTTAGATTGATTATATTTTGTTCTTGATCAGTTTGTGAAGTTAGAAGTACTGATTTGTTTTTATTTATTTGAATATTGTTCAAGTTGTAAAAGTCATCTGCAATTTCTAGTATTTTTTCTAGATTTTCTTTGGATGTTGTGATCCAGGTTGTATCATCCATGTATGCGAGTGTTGATATTTCTGCAGATATTTTTGCTATTTCAGGTTTTGATATATCTGCTTTCCAATTTACTTCCATTTTGTAACCAATATTTTTTTGTTTTTTTATTTCACACAAAAGTGGATCATAATAAATACACCACAAAAGTGGTGAAATGACCTCACCCTGGTCAATTCCAACCAATACTTCATATGGATCTGTCTCGCCATGACATGTGATAACTTTATTTTTCCTTTTTGTAAAAAGGTTTATTATGAGATTTATGCATTTTTGAGGAAATTTGAGACGTTGCATAGCTTTTTCTAGCATTCTGATATTAACACAATCGTATGCTTTGGAAAGGTCCTGAAATAAAATCCAAATCTCTTTTTTGTATTCATTGGACTCTTCAATTATGGAATTAAGTGCTCTGATTGGTTCAAAAGTTGAACCACCAGGTAATCCAGCAAAATTATCTCCTTTTAGGATATTATTTTTTGCTAATATTTCAGAAAGTCGTTTATTTAGGATTTTCACCATTGCTTTCCTTACTGTTTCCAAAAGAGTTATAGGTCTTGTTTTATCTAAAAAACATTCCCAATCCATTGGTTTAGGGATGGGGTAAATTGTTGCTATTCTCCATTGGTTTGGTATTTCATTCATCTCAAAACATGCAGAAATTAATTTCCAGAGACATCTTCCAAAATTCTTTCCCAGATGTTTGATCATTTCATTGCTGATTTTAGAGGGACCAGTAGCTTTGTTATTTGGTAGAGTTGTTATTACCTGTTTCCATTCCTTGTATGTGGGTGGATCCATTACATTTTTATAAATATCAGAGTTAATTTCTTCTTTTGGAAGATATTGATTTTTCCAATAATTATTGATTTGTTTTATTTCATTTTTTCCTCTAGCTACATTTTGAAAATGTTGATTTGTTATTGCTTTAATTTTTTCAGGATCTGTTGTTAAGATTAGGTTGTTATTTTCTTTAAAAAGAACCCTGTCTAGAATTATTCGTTTATGATTTCTTTCCAAAATGGAGTCAATCATTGTGCTTTGATCATCCTTGTAGTTTTCACATCTTTTATTGATTAATAAATTAATTTGTTCTTGTTTTACTTGTTTTTCTTTTATTTTACATATTGTAGATAGTGTGTTATATATTTTAAAAGTGATTTTTTTTATTTTGCTGATATTATTGACATTAATATTTATATCAATTTCTTCTAGTGGATATTTAATGTTATTTGAAATGCTCTCAAGATTTGTTTTCATTTCATTCCATTCTATATTATTTGGAAAACCTTTACTGCTAATTTTGCGTTTTCCTAATCTTAGTAGAATTTTACTGATAGATTTTAAATGAAAATAATGTTGTTTTAATGCTGGTGATTTATCTTTTTGATTTGATTTTATATTAGTTGTCCATTTATAGGGAATGTGTTTTTCTGCAGCTTGCAAAATTATCTCTTTAATTTTATTCCATGTTTTGTCAAGTGTTATTTGATTAATTATCTTAGCATTTTCTTTATACAAGAAACTTTTTTTGAATAATTCATTAGAGTAGTTTGCAAAATCTTTCCATTTTTCTTTGGACATATTATCATATTTAAAAATTCTTCTCTTAGTTTGATAACGTTTAGCTTTGGCTTCTTGTTGATATTTTAATATACCATCAGTTGAAAAGTATGTGATGATCATATTGTGATCTGAAGGATATAAATAAATGTGATAGTTGCTACAATAAAGGAAGTCTGATAGCAAATTATTTGAAAACCAACATAAATCAATTCGAGAGCTGTTTTCTCCACTTTTGTATGTTGGTATTTTTTGTTCGTGACAAATTTCATATGCATCTGTGAAATTTGTGTTTTCAAGTTCCTCTATTAGTTTGTACTGATAAGGAAGTATTCTATTTTTTATTTTTAATTCATTCATTTTTTCTGGTGATAAGTTAAAATCTCCCATTGTGATTATGTAGAAATTTTCATTTTTTGCTTGTTTTATGATATTTATAATGTATTCATATAATTCCAATTTTTCTTTTTTCATACTTAAATTTGCATAGTTATAAATTTGTATAATTCTAATCTTAACATTTCCTTGTAAAAATAAATCTATAAATATTGCACGTCCTTTGAATTCAGTTGATTTTTGAATGTATTTTGCTAGTTTATTGTGTATAATTATCCCAACCCCAGAACCTATTGGTTTGTCTTCTGAACAGCTCCAAAAAGATGAATAATTTTTATTATTTTTATATATATGTGACGCAGTTCTATTATTTAAATTTGTTTCAGATAAACCTAAAACATCTAATTGTAAAGTTTCTATTGTATTAATAATTTGTTCTTGTTTAACTGGGTCTTTCATGCCCATTACATTATGATTTGCTATTTTTAATAAGTTACCATCAATTTCTATGTTATTTTCATTATTGTTAAAATTTATTTGGGTATTGGTTATGTTGTTTATACCCATATTATTTGAATTATTGTTGTTAATCATAAGTTAATTAATTAAAATTTATTCTGACTGGTGCTAATAGCACCTTGATCCATTTCATCATTATTTTGGTATTGATTTTCAAAAATATTGAGGATTTTGTTTATTTTTTTGTTCATTTGTTTTGTGTTGTGTTCAATATTATTTTGTTTAATTTTCAATTCATTTATTTCATCATTTATTTCATCATTAATCTCTGCATTAAGAGATTCATCACTTGATTCATTCATTTTTTTTCTTTTTTGTGTATGTTTGGATGTAGAAGGAATATTTTTTCCTTTTGACAAAATTGAAATATCTAATTTATTATTTCCTTTTTGTGAATTAACTTTAGATGAGTTATTTTGAAATTTATTTTCAGTTGTTTTATGTTGAGTTGAAGTATTTGATAAATTTGTGCCAGCATTATTCTCCAATGCTTCTACTCTCTTCTTTACTTCTTCTATGTCTAGCATTATTTTTTTTAAATCTTTTTGAATGTTTTTCATGATTTCTACTATGTTCTCATTTTTTTTAATATTATTATTAACATTCATTTTTAAATTTGATTCATTTTGTTTAAATATTTGTTTTGAATTTTTTGTTTTTTCTGCATAAGAAACTCTTTTAATTGAATTATTTGGTTCAATAAATCTTTGTTGAGCTTTTTGTGAATTTGATTTTGGCTGAGGAACTCTATATTTATGATAAAGTCCTTGCAGACGTGCATTTTTTTGTTTAATTTCATCATTTTTTTCTTTTTCTGGACAAACAGCTATTAAATGATCACTGTTACCACATTTATGACATGTTTTGTGTTCATCACTTTCCCAAGAGAGATTATTGTTTCTGAAGGCAAAATTTGTCAGACATGCATTTTTCATATCTTCATCATTTTCAAAAGTTATGTAAGCAAATCTTTTTCTGGTGTATTGTTGTCTTGTTCTTGTAATAAAACAAGTTTTAGCCTTTACTGCTAACATAATATCATGTAAATCATATGCTGTTGTGCCATATGGCAGATTAGTGAGTTTTAGAGTACGACTATTTCTTTCGTCTATTTCTTCTTTGGTAACATCCAATGGTGCAATTCTACAACTATCTTTTAAGTACATAATTGACCATTTATCACCAAGTTTGCTCATGGATTCTTTATCTTTGAATGTAATTTGTGCTTTATACCAAGTTCCTTGTGCTCTCATTTTAATATTTGTAATTTCTCCATAAGAAGATAGAATATTCATTAAAACTTCTTTTTTTGCAGTTAAGGGTAAATCTCTTATGCTAATAGTTCTTTGTCGATAATCTTGGACAGATATTTCTTCATGTGTTTGAAATTTAAAGTCACTATTTTCTGCAAAAGGTAGTTCACATGCCTTATCTGCATTTTCTTTTGTTCCAAAGGTTGCTACAATATATTTGATTCCTTTAATATATTTAATATTTAAGCCAACAAGGGGCTGAATGTTTGATAATACTTTTGAAGCTGATGCAAGTTTTGCATTATTATTACCACCAGGGACATTTTCAGCTTCAATTTGAACAATAAAACGTTCCTTTCTTTTGACAACAGTCCAATCCTTATCTTCACTTTGATCTAAATTCATATCAGAATCAACATCATTATTACTGACATTTTCAAGTCCATTTTGCAATCTTGCAGAGTTTTCATGATTTTCCATTGTATTAATTTTTAGGTAATTAATTGTCTACCAAGGAATTGGCAGACATACAAGTATATATATACTTTAATTCAGAAAAAGTATTTATGAACCACAGAAACCTTCTAGACAGGGTATTTACTACAAAGAATTGTGTTTTTATTATTTTATGTGTTTTATAATTATATATTTTTTTTTTTTTTATAAATATAAAAAAAATTTTTTTTTATTTTTTTTCTCTAAAAAATTATGTAAACACGTTTTCTTTTTTTAATTTTCCAGTCATGTGCGATCGACATTTTTAAATTTCGGAAATGCACCAAATTTGGTTGGAGAAAATTAATAATATGTAACAAAAATAATTTAATTGTTATCCAAGAAACAAATAAAAGCAAAATGTCAAATAATATTTCATTGACTTCATTATCATTAACACATGTAGAATTCGATTCAACTGACCCAATTGCATACATATTTGCGTATATAACTTTATCACCTTTAGCAATCATGGTGGCATATGTAACCGTAATAGTTTCCAGAAGAGAAGTTGCTGGTATTAACATTTTCATAGGACAATCAATTTGTGAACTATTTAATGCCATTTTGAAAAGATGGCTGAGAGAAAAGAGACCAACAGGTTAGTTAGTAATGGTTGGTTGGTTGGTTGGTTGGTTGAGTGAGTGAGTGATTTTGTATATTTACATTATTGTTATTTGGATAATAGATAAACTTGGTACTGGATATGGTATGCCATCATCTCATGCACAATTTATTGCCTTTTTTGCAATTTTTGCAATTTTATATTTATATAACAGGTTTTTTTTTATTAGCTGAAATAAATGATTAAAAGTGATAATATATTTATTTATATAATAATAACAATAATATGATTATTATAATTATAGAATAACATTTAGGAATAACAAATGGAAATTTCCAATTGCATGTTTTTTAATAATTTTTTCAATATTAGTTTCTTATTCAAGGTAATCAAGGATCTCTCACACATACCTATCTATTTATTTATATATATCTCAATATATTAATCAAAATTGACATTACTTATTTGTATTAGGATTTATTTAAATTATCATACAACAAAACAAGTATTATTTGGTAATTTATTTGGATCAATATTTGCATTAGTATGGTACATAATTATAGAATTATTAATTAGACCTTTAGGGTTCTATAAATATTTAATTAATACAGATTTGGCAAGATCTTTTTATTTAAGAGATTCAGCTTTGGTTCCTGATGTTTTGAGATTTGAATATATTTTTTGGGTGAAATTCAAAGATTATAAAGAAATATAGATAAGTTGTGATGTTATGAAAAGAAGGAAAATATGAAGAATCTAAAAAAAAAATCTAAAAAATTTGCTAGATACTTTGTTATTTAAAAAAATCTTACTTTAATCATGTATATATAATATTAATTTAAATTGGTAAAAATGATTAAATTTATAAAGGTTAAGAAATAGAAAATATATGCAAACCACAAACAACTTCACTCTTGCTAATCAACTTATGAGCCATTAAACAAATATTTTCATGTAATTTTTCATATCATTACCATCATCTTTTATTAATAATAATAATGTTCTTTCGGTATACTCTCTCAATAAAATTGTAGCAATTCCTAATCTTCAATAGTTTTTATCAATACAACAAACATTGCGAATACAAACTGTTTTACCATCTGGCTCATGTTGACATTGATTTTTTCAGTGTGTTTTTTTAAATCTGGTTATGTTGATACCACCAACCCTATCACTTTCATTTTCATTGAATCCTTATTGTCGTCACCATCACCTTTATAATTATAATCATCATTATTATAATACAAATAAATTTGGTGCATGTTTCTGTCAATATTATAATTTTTTCCTTGTTCTAAACAAGAAATTTATGAAAAATTTAGGCCCTATTTTGTTTTATTAGCAAAGATTTACAAAAAAAAAATCATCAATATTTTGTTCAACATCTCATTCAAAGATTTATAATGGATTTAACATTTTCAGATAAATCTGCTTCAACTCAACCAGTAGATAATAGCAATAATATTTACACTACTATTACTGAAATGATAAGTCTCCTTGAGAAGGTGAAATTAGCAGCATGGACGAAGTTTTTTTTAATCATAATGACATTAACAATCCAACAGAAATTAAATGGGGTCATTTGATGTAAATAGTCAAGTAAAAGAGAAAATCCCTGCAGAGAAACCTTTAATGTCATACATTTATATGTAGTTTTGATCTGGGAATTAATACTGTTAACAATAATTCATATAAATCAACAAAGAAAATTTCTGTGGAGAAACTTTTAATTTTGATCTGGAAATTAACACCATTAATAAAAAAAACAAAGGAGAAATTCCTGTAGAGAAATCTTTGGTATATATAACAATAAAATCTTAATTTGTCAATAATAGTAATAGTAATAGTAAATAGAATAAAAAAAGAATAAAAATATTAATCATATACAAAAATAAATGTTTGTAATGATGGATATTTTCTCCAATCATGTGGAACATGCTTCAGGTACAACCATGTAAAGTCTTTATGGGCGATTTAAATGTTGCTGTTTTTCATTTAATAAACAACAACAAATAAATTCCAAGATGATAACATCATTTAGCAAATACCATTTGAAAATTGTTATTATTGATGAACTGATGAAGAATTTTCACCTGACCCCCAATCATAGTCCAAAAAGCTATCAAAAAGGTCAACAAGACTTGTTTCAGTATTTGTTGAAATGATAGGATCTGATTGTTCTGTTGATGTTGCTGGTGGTTGTATGACAAATGGATTTGCAATGATGAACCTGTAAAGGTTCCTGAACTTGACGTGCCTCTGCAGGGACTTCTTGGAAACATCAATTTCTTGATGATATTGATTAAAATAATCATTATTATTATTGCTTTTTTTTTACTAATGATTCTTCTTTATTATTATCATCATTATTAAAAGAATCTGAAGTTTCCAAGGTCGTGGATACTGCTGATCTGTGAACATCATCAATTAAGACTTTATTCATCTTGGAAACAGAAAGTTGCAATCAAATTTCTGCAAATTGCTCTAAAATTGTATCTAATTTAGCTAATAAAACTGATTTTTCTTCTTCTACAGTCTTTAATCTTTTTGATAAATGTATATTTTCTTCTTTAAGAACTGTGTTCTGTGCCTCTAAATCAGTCATTTGTTTTCTTTTTTTATCTCTTGATATTTGTGCTGCATGTTGATTTCAAAGTATTCTATTATCAAAAAATCAATTAATGAATTATTTCGTTGATTAATTGATAATGGAATGATGATATCACACCTTTCACATTGTCTTTGTTCTTTTTCTTCTATACCTTCAACCTTTCTCTTTTGACCACCAGTAGTTTTCTTTAGTTTCTTCAACTACTGATGATGATGAAAATGAAAATTGACTAGTGGAAGTTAAATTACTCAAACAGTTTGATGTGATTTTTGAATCTGGAATAATATTTTTAGTAAATGTTGGTTGAATTGGTTTTAAAGCAGTGGAAGTTGAAGAAAGTAATTTAATTTTTGAAGTTAAAGGAGCAAAATCGTCATTATTTGTTATGATGGGAGACGAAATTGCAGAAGAGGAAGGAGGAATTATTTCTGAGGTCACCAAATCTTCACTCCAATTAGAGTAATCATTATTATGAGACAAAGGGATCTCGTAACCATTGGCATCATTGAAATGTTGGTTTGGTGAAGACATGGTGACCTATTATGACTTTTCTTTGTTATCACTGTCAATGCAGTTTGGGCCAGTTCCAACAAGAATATTATTTAAAAAAAAAAAATAGAGATAATAAAAGGAAATTTATGAAGATAAATTTATCTCATCAATATTGTGCAACAGTAACTGTTTAATTTTTTTGATACATGTAAAATCCTCTGCCACTCTTTATGCCTAACCAACCAGCATCAACGTATTTTTGTAATAAAATAGCTGGCCTATATTTAGTATCACCAATCTCTGTATGTAACACCTTCATTATTGCTAAACATGTATCAAGGCCTATGAAATCAGCTAAAGTTAAAGGACCCATTGGGATATTTGTACCTAATTTCATAGTGGTATCTATATCTTCACAAGTTGCTATGCCCTAGACAATTTATGGTTAATGTAGTTATTATTTTTTATTTCTGAATTGATTTTTTTTTTAAAAAAAAAAAAAACTTTATTACCTGTTCTAATACCATAATAGCTTCATTAATGTAAGGCATTAATAATCTATTTGCTATAAATCCCGGAACATCTTTTGACAATGTACATGTTTTACCCATGGAAATAGCCAAATTTTTGGTTGTATCAAAAGTTTCATCTGATGTGGCTAAACCAGGAATAATTTCAACCAATTTCATCACACTCACTGGATTCATAAAATGCATACCAATCACCTAAACAAATATAAGATTATTTTGAGAATAGTGACTTTCTTTTCTTTGTATCCATCCAATTCATTATTACCTTCTGTGGTCTTTTTGTAACTGCTGCAATTTTAGTAATACTAATACTACTAGTATTGGTGGCAAGAATTGTATCTGGTTTAGTTGACTTATCCAGATCAATAAACACCTTTTTTTTCAATTCTAGATTTTCTGGTACTGCTTCAATCACAAAATTCATTTCACTTAACTCTGAAATATTTTCTGTTGTTTTAATTAATGATTTTGTTAAACTAGCATGTTCTTCTGTAATTTGATTTTTTTTAATCTCTTTCTCAAGTAGGCCATCTAAGAAGAATTTATATATGTTCATATTATAAACTTTTTTAAAAAAACTGAGTGAAATTAATATGTAATTTTTTAAATCAGACCAATAAATTTCAATGCCTTTTCAATTTGATTTGGATTTGAATCCATGATTTTAACAGGTAAACGACTAACATTTGCAATTACAAATGCAATTCCCAATCCCTAATTTTATTTAATTAACAATAAAATATTTTAATCTATTATTCAAATAAATATAATATTAACTAATTAATTAATTAGAAAAACCATTTGTCCTGCTCCAATAACTCCAACTTTGTGATTCTTTTTTAAAAATAAATAAATAAAACCATTAATTAAGCAAAAAAAAAAAATATATATATATATATCTCAATCTTAATAAATTCTTACAATAACATTGTTATTATTATTAGTAGAGATGGTGGAAAAACTGGAAGTTGTAGTTGATACTGTTTTTACAGAAGTATGAAAATAAACCTAGTAAATTATTAATATATATATATAAGTGTATATACACATATATATTTATAACTTTTGAATAAAATACCTTATTATTACTACTACTGATCATTTTTGTAAATAAATGACAACTATTAAAAAAGCGACACATCCTTCAAAACCAAAAAATATCAAGGATGATGAATTTATGCGCAATAAAAGTAAATGATGCACAATGAATAATAAATTCTGATGATCAATACAACAATGCAATTTTGACCATAATCAATTATGCAGTAGTATATAATAGTAAAATACATGTGCTAAAACTCTACAACAAATAATTTTTTGAGAAAATATCATTATTACATTAAAACTAAAGGCCTATTCTATCAACTAATCATGCTATTTTTTTAATTTGTGCAAAATTTAGGAAGTCTTTACAGACATTTTTTGTAAGCTAAATGGTCCATTATAGAGAGTGAAACTGTAATGAAGAGTTATTTGGTTTTATTAACCTGTCACTCATTCATCAGGAATCCTTGTTATTAAAATCATAAAATTAATAAATAATGTCATTAACAATTTATAAATAATTCCCTCACCTATTGTATGTAACATAGTTACAGCTCACACTCTCTATAATGAACTTCATTTTTATTTCCAGTTCGATTTTTTTATATTAATTTCTCTCTTTATAATGAACATTTTAGTAAATGCTCTCTATAACAAATAGAAGTAAAAAAATTACACATAAGGTACATTATAGAGAGTGAACTGTATATGTAAATTTATCCAAATTTCATGTAGTAAAATAGTTCTAATATGTAAAAAAGTTAAATAAAAGTCATAATATATTATGGTAGTATTAAAAGGAATTCAAGTAATTACCTGAAAATAATCAAGAATTAATAAAATTAAAAAAGAAAATTGAACAATTAGAAGAAATGTTAGGTAGGGTATAATTGATAATTTAATAGCTACAAAATTGAATTAGAAAAAGAAAACTTAAAAGTAGAAAAGCACAAATTAATGAAAAAGAAAGAATTGAAATAGAATATAAAAAAAAACCTTGAAAAAACATTTGCTGAAGTAGGTTCAAAATATGATGAACCAATTGATGAAGAAATAGAAACAGATAAAGATAATTGAAAGAAGAATTTATTAAGAAATTAAGAAATGAAGAGAGAAATAGCACAATAATTAAAATTATTAAAATTATTGAAGACTGAAAACAAAAAAACTAAAGATGCAAGAATGCATTCTGAAACTCGTCTTGAAGCCTTAAAAGTAGCCCAAGAATAAAGAAGATGATTAGCTGAGAAATTAGAGCAATTAAGAATCAGAGATAAAGATACTTGGTGTAAATAGATACAGCTGCCGCAAATAGTAGTCGTGAGAAAATTATTTGTGATCTGCAGTAACTGATAACTATTTGCGGCAGCTGTAAATATTTTATAATGGTAACTACCAGGGGTAAACCACCATTGCCACAAATAACCAATTACGGCAGGTTTAATCAACAAGCCCAAGGAATCCAGCAACTAAAACAAGAACTATATTTAGCCAGCAAGCCTTACCAAAAAGAATAAACTACAACAGGTTACAAAAAAGATAAATGAGAAAATTCGCCTAAAAAAAGAAACAAGAGCAAATAATTGAAGTAAAACCCAAGCAGGCCAAACCAACCCACATTAATTCTTTTTTACCAAATTTATTTTTAATTTCTTTAAATAAAAGATAACAATTTTGAAATGTTTGGTTGCACAGGAAATAATTCGTTGTAAAGAAGATTCGTGGAGACTTGTAACGGTAAATTCAGTTCAGTTATGGTAACGAATCACCATGAATTTTCTAAACGTCCTGTTTCTCAACTTTAGTAATCTGAACTTTTGGGGAAGGATGAGATCAGAATCAAAAAGTAAAACTTGTGATGAGTCGTTTTTTTTCTTTGCTGCGCTGGCTTGAAATGATTTGCAAATTGTTTGAAGTATTTTCGTTTTCCAAAATGATAAATGGTTGTGGTTATTTTACGTCACCGTATCGTGCGAATCCCGATTTGTGAAACTGAAAAACTTATCTGTTTGGTTCAAAACGTCAGGGTTGAGCGAAACAGATATTTGATCAAAAAAAATCGTGTTTCGTTTTAGATGTTTTTTGCGTGGTGTCGACCGCTGTCTACCGTTAGGTCTTCGACTTGCTCCGACGTTTCAGACCGTTCAAAATGACCAAAAACTGATGGTCTTGTCTTGGAACTTTACCTCAGATCGTCAAAGGTTAGCCACACAACGTGTTAGTGATATTTTCTGGATACGAGACCGGGTTCAAAAACGGTTTATTTCGTTGTTAATTTAATGATCGATCGATAAACAAATAATATGTGCATATTTTTTTGATTGTTTGTGTTTGAAATTAAAAAATTTATTTTTTGGATTTTGACCATTTGAGAGATACGTGATCTGGATAAGAAAAAATTTTAATTTCCTTTTCAATCTTTTTTGATTTTGACCGTTTGAAGGATAGTGGACTATCTGATTTCCTTTTGAAGAAAACCATAAAATTGTTGATTAATGAAAAATTTCCTTTCGGGAAAAACAAATAAAATACGTTGATTGATTAAGAAAAAAAGCTTAGTTGATTTTTTTAACAATTGAAATTTGTAAAGATTATTCTTCTATGGTGATGTAGACTTGAAAAAAACATCTAATCGATCAAATTGACCTTTTATCTGTGATGTATAAATAAATAAATGAATAAAAAACAACTTATTCGCCTCTCGGATGTTTTTTACTCGCTTGCTTTTTGCATAGTATTTTTTTAATTTTGATTATTTGTTATTAAATCCACTTAAAAAACCTATTATCGTGAAAGGATCGATTGTGGGTCTAACAACTTGCCTTTCAAGAACCACACAAACCTCCAAAAATCCATTACAATTCAGGAAGGAGCGAGAGTCATGTTCTTGAACAACAAACTGTCCGAGCACAACATCTGCAATGGGACGATAGGAGTGATAACTAAAGTCGTTGATGATGACAATGTGATGAAAATCAACGTTCAGAAAAGCGTTGCAAATTTTGATATCAATGGCATACTAGTCGTATGACATTTCCCTGAGGCTGCTTTTCTATATTAATATTAATATTAATATTAATATGTGAAAATAGATTCGAAATTCGTGTCACATGAAGTTTTTTTTAAAAATATCTCGTTATTTTTATAGTAAACTCGAACTTTGTTGTTAGAGTAAAATGAAAGTACTCCATTAAAGCTTTCTAATGAATACTCTTTCATATCGAAAGCTTTTCTCTACATCAATTCACGGCTATTCAAAAACGGGTATTGTTTTTTCACTCTGCACTAGCTGAATTCATCTATCTTCCATATAATGCTTGATAAATAGATCTCATAAACTTGAACTTGTAAAAAATAAGAGTTGAAATTACACCAACCAAATGCCCCATATATCAATATTCACCAATAGATCTCTCATTGCAATATTCAATAATGGTGATAACACTTCATATACATAAGATCCCT